AAGCGCGTCCTGGCGTCCCGAGGCGGGGGGGAGGGGCGCCTTTCCAGAAATTGACAGGAACCCGACCAGACAGACCTTGGCAGTCTTCCACGCCTCAACGTGCACAAGGCACGGTGGCGAGTTCAGGATGATCAATTATGCAGAATGGATATGGGCAGACAGGGGTAGAATCGAACGAGCTTCTCGCAGGGAGCAAAAGATACGATCTATATATAAATATGGTCGCCCCCCCCCAGCACCCCCAAACCACCCAAACCACAAAATCTTCACTAATCGTTTCTCCTCGTCGCTCTCCTCCTCAAACCACAAAATCTTCACTGATCGTTTCTCCTCGTCGCTCCCCTCCTCCTCCTCCTCCTCCTCCTCCTCCTCCTTCTCCTCCCCCTCCTTCTCCTCCCCCTCCTCCTCCTCCTCCTCCTCCTCCTCCTCCTCCTCCTCCTCCTCCTTCCCTGCGTCTCCCAAGCCAAGGAAACCTAAAATGCATTGTGTATGGCGCCGTCGGTGCAAGGAAATGCTGTTTTTTTTTGTCTGAGAAGCAAGGAAACGCTGTGTATGTTTGTTGTTTTTTTTTTGGGGGGGGTTTGGTTTTGCAAACCCGAATGCCCGCGCTGGCCTCCCTTTCAGCACCCTTCCATGCGCCTCAGACCAAGAAAACCAAAAATACACAGTGTTTGGCGCCCTCGGTGCAAGGACACGCTGTGTATTTTTGTTTTTGTTTTGGTTTTTTGGTTTGAGAATCAAGGAAACCTTGGTTTTTTTTTTCTTTTTTTTTGTTTTTTTTTTTTGGTTTTGCAAGCTCTAAGGGTGCTGGGAGGGAGGCTGGTGCGAGCGTCGGGGCTTCCAAAACCAAAAAAAACAAACAACACAAAAATGCACAAGGTTTCCTTGATTCTCAAACCCAAACAAACACACAAACAAAAAAAAACGTTTCCTTGCACCGAGGGCGCCAAACACTGTGTATGGTTGGTTTTCTTGTTTTGCAACAAGGAAGAGGAAAGGCAAGGGGCTTGCAAAACCAAAAATACACAGCAAAGCAAGAACACCAAACATACACAGTGTTTGGTGCCCTCGGTACAAGGAAACGCTGTGTTTTTTGGTTTGAGAAGCAAGGAAACGCTGTGTATTTTTGTTTTTTTTTAAATATATTGCTTGGTTTTGCAAGCCCCTTGCCTTTCCTCTTCCTTGTTGCAAAACAAGAAAACCAAACATACACAGTGTTTGGCGCCCTCGGTGCAAGGAAACGCTGTGTATTTTTGTTTTTTGTTTTTTTGGTTTGAGAATCAAGGAAACCTTGTGCATTTTTTTGGGGGGTTTTGGAAGCCCCGACGCTCGCACCAGCCTCTCTCCCAGCACCCTTAGAGCTTGCAAAACCCAAAAAAAAACAAAAAAAAAAAAAAACACAAGGTTTCCTTGATTCTCAAACCAAAAAACAAATAAAAAAAAGCGTTTCCTTGCACCGAGGGCGCCAAGCACTGTGTATTTTTGGTTTTCTTGGTCTGAGGCGCATGGAAGGGTGCTGAGAGGGAGGCCAGCGCGGGCATTCGGGTTTGCAAAACCAAAAAAAATGCACAGCGTTTCCTTGCTTCTCAGACCAAAAAAAAAACAACAAAAAAAGCATTTCCTTGCACCGACGGCGCCATACACAATGCATTTTAGGTTTCCTTGGCTTGGGAGACGCAGGGAAGGAGGAGAAGGAGGAGCAGGAGGAGGAGGAGGAGATAAGATAAGGAGATAAGGAGATCGGGATGAGGAGAGGAGGACGATGAGAAGGACGACGAAGATGAGGAGGATGCACACCCCCCCTCCCCAGTCCGTCGTTTGGGGGTGCTGGGGGGGGGCAAGCATAAATATATATGTATATTCGATACGGCGCAACCTACGGAGTGCAAGCTATGGAACGCACACTATGTGGTGGAGAAAACGTTGTGCAACACATCTTGCGCATTTAATTCGAAGGTTTCAACTACAATACTCGAGCAAGCATCTCACCCACACACCCGCAACTGTTTGGCAAGACTAAGTGGCCGTGAGTGCAGTGTCCACTTGGTTGGCTCTGGTCTCACCTCGATGGTTTTCTGGTCGAATCGAACTGGCGGGTCTTTGGGAGCTTTCGGGATGGTTGCAAGGCTCTAAGGTCTTCTCTCGATGGTTGTCCAGTCGGATCGGACTGCGTTGTCTCTGGGGATTCTTGGGCCGGTTGCAGGTTGGAAGGTTCTAACAGGGCCGCGCAATCCATTTTTAAGGGTCGCGAGGTGGCCAGGGACTCCCCGACATCATCCACACTCGCCCTACCCAGATCAGGGATCTTCATGAAATGGGCCGGCGCGTCATTGCGTTTGTTGGGGCTCGCTCACAAGCCAGAGCACGGCCATCCCACCATTCCCCAGAGGCCATCAGGCGGTTGATATTCCGAGGCGCACCTCCCGATAGCGCATTGCGCTACAATGCTCGGGGGATTAGCAAAAGAAGGCCGGGGAGATTTGATGCGTTTCCAGAGCCACCGAGGGTCTGGAGACGTGCCGGCTACATCAGTATCGGTACGTAGTTGGTTGTTCGGGGGGACGCGTTGTGGGGTTGTTTAGACCCCCCAGACCTTCACGAATGAGCATCGGCTGCTTTGTTGGCTCGAGGTGACGTATTTTGGGCAGGGTCGGACAAGACATACAACGCTTTTGAGGACTGAGCTGACCCAAACCATGGCCGCCGGTTCCTTCCCGCCCCTGCTGCTGGTCGTCCTCCGGGTCGCGTGCGCGTCTGCGAAGCTCAGCGGTGGCGTCGCCAGGCCGCAGTCTCCGCCAATGGGCTGGCGCTCGTGGAACTTCTTCCAGTGCGAGGTGAGCCAGGACATCCCCAGGGGCTTCGCCGCCCGTCGCCCGGCCCCCCCGTCGAGGGACTCGTTTGGGCGCTGCTTAATGGGGGATCCTCCTCCTCCTTCCTCCTCCTCCCTCCTCCTCCCTCCTCCTCCTCCTCTTTCTCCTCCTCCTCTTTCTCCTCCTCCTCCTCCTCCTCCTCCTCCTCCTCCTCCTGGGGGGCGGCGAGCGTGGTCCGAAAAGGTGCCCGAACGGTACCTGAACGAGCCCCCTGGGGCTCCGGAGGGGCCCGAAAGGGGCAGGAAAGGGGACCGTTTCGGGCCCCCCCATCTATGACCCCCCCATGAATCAGGAGGGGAAAAAACACACAGACACAATTAATCGGCGATTCCCAGAAAATATGGGAAAATATGGGAAGTGGGGGGGAAGACAAAAACCCGGAAAATATGGGAAAATATGGGGGATGTGTTTATTTGTGTGTATTTATTTCTGTGTCCCAGTTCCCCTTCAATGAAGCCACGCCCAAGGTGAGCCAGGACATCCCGAGGGGCTTCGCCGCCCGCCGCCCAGCCCCCCCCCCGCCGAGGGGCTCGTGGCCCACGGGCCGTCGGGCGGGGGGGCCTCCCTGGGGGCCACCCTTGGGGCGACCGTCTGGCTCCGAGGGGGGTACTCTCCACTTCCTCCTCCTCGCTCCTCCTCGCTCCTCCTCGCTCCTCCTCCTCCGTCCTCCTCCTCCCCCTCCTCGCTCCTCCTCCTCCGTCCTCCTCCTCCGCCCTCCTCGCTCCTCCTCCCTCGTCCTCCTCCTCCGCCCTCCTCCCTCCTCCTCCTCCTCCTCCTCCCTCCCTCCTCCTCCTCCTCCTCCTCCTCCCTCCTCCTCCTCCTCCTCCTTCGCCCTCCTTCTCCTCCTCCTCCTCCGTCCTCCGTCCTTCTCCGCCTCCCCCTCCCCTGGCTCGCTCCATGCCTTCCCTTTCACAGTCTCTTCTCCCCGCCGTATCCCGGGACGTGTGGGCATGGTGGGCCGAGCGTTTCGCTTGAGACTTTCTCACCATATATGATCCTGAAGATGTGAATTTGCAACAGCTTCACAGCTGGAGGGCGGGTCGTTGTCAAAATGTGGTGCTCGCCTTCGCGCCGCGCACCTTCGTTTTAAATGTGTGCAGGGGCTGCACGGTTGGAGGGCTGATGTGTGTTCAAGTTGTGGTCTTCGTTTTAGTGCGCCACTTGGAAAATGCAAGAGATCTTCTAATGGAGGGCGGGTGGTTCTCAAATTGTGGTTCTACCTTGCGTACCGCGCACATTCGCTTTGACGAAAAAGCGCAGGAGTTTCTCTGATGGAGTGCGGGTGGTTTTCAATGTGTGATTCTCGCCTTAGTACCGCGGGCATGTGTTCTCAGAGATTACAGGAGTTTCAAGGATTCTCATGGTCCTAGACGCTGTGTTTTGTAACGATGCAGGACTGCCAGGGCGCAACAGTTATGTTGATTCGAGGCGTTGAAGTTCCAGGAATGGTGCTCTGACACGGTTCCAGATCGTCAAGACGCACCAGTAATGTTAATTCGCGGCGTTAAAATTCCAGGATCGAATTTCTGGCACGGTTCATAAGTTCCCTACGGTTATCTTCCAACGGGTCAACATTTTGATGGGTCTCCCCCTCCTCCTCATCCCCCTCCTCCTACGTATCCTCCTCCTCATCCTCCTCCTGGGGGTTATCCTGGGGTCCTTGGCAAATATCGGGGCTACCTTTCGGGCATCGCGTGACCATTATGGCAGCCGTGGGCCTTTAGGATCCTGTTGTTTCTCTGGAGGCCATGTTAGTGCCATTTTGGCCAGAACCAGAAATATAGAGGCCTCTGAGGTGATGTTTGAGCAGTGCCTGTGCCCCCTGGAAGCTCGCGAATGCTTGGCAACGTGGCGCAGCAGAGGGCAAGCAGGGTCAAGCTTGCAGAACACTGCCCACACCATGTTTGCTCACTTGAGAGAGGAGCCTGCCCTTCGCAACCTGGTGTGTAAGTCGGGCGTGTCCTCTACAAGAGGAATATTCCAAAATAGTCCAAAAATAATATGGGGACGATTTGTTTTAGCATTGTTTGCCTATGTTTTTGTTGTTTTCCCTGTTCTCCATTGTTCCCCCAGAATCCGTTCGTAGGGGGGCATGCCCGACCTAAACATGGTGGCCCCACGCTACTGGAGGTCCGGCGGATTCTCGAGCGGCAGATGGCCGCTTTGACGGCGAAGCGAGTTCACGATGGTGTCCCAACAAGCCTTCTGGACCTTGGCTACAATGACCTGGGCTTGGATGACTGCTGGCAGGTGTGCGACGCCAAGGGCAACTTGTTCCATGACCCTGACACAGGCATGGCCATCATAAACACGGAGCTCTTCCCAGACATGAAGGGCATGGTCCAGACTGGTCATGCGAGGGGGTTGAAGGTAGGCTTCTACTCCAACAACTGCTTCTGCAAGGAGGTCGGGCAGCCGACGCACTATGCAGAGGACGCGAACCTCACGATCGGATTGGACTTCGACTCCGTGAAAATCGATTCGTGCGGCAACCAGCGGGACATGACTGAGTTCGGAGGCCCAGAAATGGGCACCAACACCAAAACAGGGGGTTGCCTCCACAGGGGGAAGACGATCCTGGATTTCGGTGCTGGTGGCAATATTTCGGTCACCTTCAAGCCAGAATATTGCCACCATCACCGAGACCGGGATCGTCTTCCCTCGGTGGAGGAACACCGCCGATCTTGGTGTTGGTGTCAACCTCTGGGCCTGCGATGAGTGGGCGCGCGAGTTCGAGGCTTCAGGCCGGACGATGATGGTCGAGAACTGTGGCAACGGGCCGCCCGGCTCCGAGCCGAAGTTTGATGCCGTCCCGTCGCCGGCGTGGGTCGAGATGCTCAACGACACGTGCCCCTTCTCCTTCTACCGCGTCTCCAACGACATCGCGCCGCAGTTCCTCTCGACGATGTTCAACCTCAATCGCCTGGTGCCCTACCTGGGAGCCGCCCCGCTCTCGCGGCCTGGCTGCTGGGCCTACCCGGACATGCTGGAGGTGGGCGTGAGGCTGAGCGAGGCCGAGGCTCGCACGCACTTCGCCGCCTGGTGCGTCACCTCCTCGCCGCTCATCCTCGGCTTCGACCTCGCGGACGCGCAGCAGCTGGACGCGGTCTGGCCCATCATTGCCAACAGGGAGGCTCTCCGGGTCAGCCAGACTTGGGCAGGGCACCCCGGGCGACTCGTGGCCAACTCCAGCAAGTATCGAGGACTCCTGCGGCGAGCGGCCGCCGGTCCTGGCGCTCTGGATGCGCCCACGTGGCCCAACGTTGGGCCAACCTCTGGCCAAGATGTTGGACTATTCGGGGGTGGACAGACCTCCTACCCTGACACGTCGATTGGTGAATTGGCCGTTTTCGGCTCGCGAGAGGGCGTCGCGGCCGTCATTTTTGCAGGTCCAGGTCCGTCGGTTTCGGTCCCAGGCCGTTTTCACTAAGGGGAGGTCTACTAAAGGGAGGTTTGTCCACCGCCGAACTATGTGTTCCCCCAACCGTTGTGGAACCCTTTTGGGGGACACTTTAGAGTGAAGGAGGAGGAGGATGACGAAGAGAGACGGAGGAGGATGTGGCAGCAGGAGAGGCAAGCGAAATGTTTTCCCTTGAGCCAGAAGTGGAACGGACGTCACACATGATGGTCCTCAGACCATCTGTCCCTGAGTGAAACGCATATGCTAAACCTATGTCACAAAATATGGTCCCCAGCAACATGGGTCCAACTTTCTCTAGGTTTAGCATTCCCCGGGAAACACTACAGAAGTCCGTGTCCACTGCCTTGCAGTGTCGGTCGGCATCGTGCCGATCGACGAACTCTGCAACTCGAAGCAACAGCGCAGAGGATAAGAGAGGATAGCAGACTATTGGAAAGCGGGATTGGAGGAAGAGGGAGAGGAGAAGGTGGACGGGAGGACACCACCACCACCACCACCGACCAGGCCAGGAGGAGCAAGCTCGTTCAGGTACTCCTTCCAGGAAATCCAGGTAGGCCCGGCCAGCATCTTCCTGGAAGCTGACTGGGAGCGGTCCTTCAGCTCGGGGGTGGCACGGCGTCGATCCACCTCGGACTCTTCATCCACGAGAACGATCCTGCCACTAGACATAAAATCAAACAGCGCTGCATTGCACTTGGTGATGTCGTCCTTTGTAAGTGCATCCACCGGCATTCTGCCGTGAGGAATCCAGCGGACCCGTCCTCGAGCACGCTCGAGGGACTCACAGATGATCGCTAGGTCAAGTGCTGTCCGGCGGTCTCGGGCTGACGCGTTCCCCTCCTTCTGCATCGTGTCATAGATGGACTTGGCGTCTACCACATGGATCTGCTGCTCTCGACTTCCTAGCCTACAGTCTCGCCGAAGGACGGTGGTGAACGGACCTGAGGCTCGAACACAGTCGGGTAGGTCGACATCTTGAAACACAACGTCCCGATAGAGCACCTGTAGGTACTCGACTTCTGCCACGGCTGCCGACAGGGCCTGGGTTTCCCCGGCCAGAGTCGACGGGACCTTACGTCGTAGCTTACTACTGCGCCAGCCCAGAAGAGAAGCTCGAACGGATTGGTTATCTAGAACTGACTTGTCGGCGGCCAGCACCATCCAAGCTCCTTGGGTGGGATCGGAAGGCAGCCCGTTGTCGTCCACCAGTGACTCGACCGAGCCGACTCCACCAGCATCTGAGAACGATATGAAAGCCATGTGCTCCGGGTTCAGCCTCCAGACGGTAAGGCCTCGAGACGCAGATGCTCGAAGGTGTTTGACTAGCTTATTCGCACAAGCAACATCTGACACCGTCGGAGCTCGGAGCCGACTGGCTAAAATACTTGCAACTCCAGCCGCCTCCGGACGTGATTCCCTCCCCACCCAGTTAAACTTGTACACCAGGGATCTGAGAGCCTTGAACTCTGTGGGTTCCAGTGGTGCATTCTTGTGTGTCATCCTGCCTCGGGCCAGGGTGAGTGGACGAATCTCCTCGAGAATGTACTTCTCTTGGTCGATCGTGACCTTGCCTGGAGCGAACGTAACTCGGCGGCCTGCGAAATCTACTGGTCCCACGTGGCAATCACAATATCTGCCGAAACGAAAACGGTTCTCGAGCACACTTCGGATCCAGGAACGGGCCGATGCATCGGAGCTGCCGATGAAGAAGTCGTCGACTTCTAATAGCATCATGTTCTGGATGGTACCGTCGGACCGATACTTCAACCACCAGCATGGCTCCAATAGGCTGCGTACAAAGCCGTGCTTTTCCAGATGGCCCACCACGGTGCGCCTCCACGCTACAGGAGCATCGTCGAGTCCGTACACATTCACCAGCAGGAGGATGAGCGACCCCGGCTCCACCTGGATGCCCTCGCAGGGTTCGACGTAGATCTGGCCCTGGGACCTGGACATGGGGTCGGACTGGGTGAACGCATTCTTGACATCCGCGATGTCTCCTAACATATTGAAATTGGCCAGGACTTGGACAAACATCATGATGGATGACGTTTGTGGAGTAGGTGCATATACGGCCAGGGATCCAGAGTCCGGGTCCTTATGCCCGTGGACGCACCATCGGGACTTAGCCTCTGGCTCGGTAAACGTTCCTTCCACCGGCTTCCACCTCCTGACCATCCGGCTCGATATTATACGATCCGGTTGGAGCTGACGGATCTTAGCCGCTTGGGCGGGAGGGATGACTCGGACACCCCCGGACTGCATCATGGATTGCCACTCCTTGTCGTCGGAAGCCTGGAACTTCTGGCGCTCGGGGGGGGTAAGCTGCTTCAAACTCACCTCCCCGCCTCGGCTGGCCGCGAAAACACCACCGTCCTGAAAACTCTCCTCGAGACTCCTGGTCCAGCCTTCGAAACCAACAGGGATCGTGCCGAGCCCGTCCACGGCGCCCGGGACCACCCAGAAATCCCCCCTTGGCTCGGCCCCCGCAAACCCCTCACTAGTCTCTCTTCGACCCGGGGAGCGAGACCTTCCCCTGGACTCAATATCTCGAACCCGCTCCATAACGGATCGGCTGTCCTCCCTACCCATCACTACAGCTCTGGACGTCTCCGGGCCTGGTCCTGGACCGGAGGAGGAGGAGGAGTCAGCACCACCACCGCCACCACCAGGGGGAGGAGGATGAGAGGAGGTCCCCGCCGCGGGGGGGACGCCAGGGTCGAGGGTCCTCGCCCTCTTGACCTCGGGAGGCGCGCTCCCTGCCCGGGCGGCTCGGATACAGGCCGGCACGTCGTCGGGCTGGGAGATCCTCGCTCGGGGCTTGGCTGCTCCGGGAGCAGGCCTGTCCCGGTCGGGGGGAGGACTAGAAGGATGAGGAGTGTCGGGAAAAGGCCTCGCGTCCTCGGAAGGAGGCCCGGGAGGAGAGGAGGAGGAAGGAGGAGAAAGACCAGGGGGAGGGGGGAGAGACGGAGAGAGAGAGCTCCCGGGCTCAACTGAGCCTCCTCCTGTGTCGGCCCTCTCGACTTCTTCCTGAGAGCGAGCAGGACTCGGAGGAGTGTTGATCGACCGATCCACCTCGGAAGGCGGCCCCTCTGAGATTGACGGCAGACCCGTCCGCTCTGATCCTGGTTGCGCCACGACCGATCCGGCTCGAGACTGACCTCCTCGGGACGGCCTTCGTGGGAGGCCGAGGGGTCCCGTGACCGTGGGGGCCTGGGCTCGAGACTCTGGTTCGGGATCGCTCCTCGGAGCAGGTCCTGGTCCTGGAACCTGGGGCCCGGCGTCGAGGTCGGCTCGGGCCGCCTTCGTCCCAGGCACTGTCGGGAGGAGCCCCTTCACGTTGGACGTCCACTGCCGTCACACGACGGGCCTGGACGGCTTGCAGGAGATCCTGCCAGCGCGGGTCCTCGGCCAGCTGAAGGCCGTACTCCTCTTCTGGACTAGCCAGTCGGACCTGCTCGGCCGAGCACTTCCAGAGCCTGGCCCGGACAGCCACCCAAACCGTGCCCCCCTCGGCCAAAACCACGACCCCGGGACCCGTCCAGCCCGCCCGGCGCCGTCCGAGGGCGTCGGCGCGAGAGGACATCCGGGTAAAGTGACGCCAGACAAACACCCACTGGCCTGGGGTGAATCTGCGATTCCCTGGAGTCCTGGCCCGGCTGGCTCGGGAGATGTTGTCTCGAGCGGTCGCCTCCATCGCCATCCTCCGGGCGGCTGCCCGGATGGCGTGAGCCCGGGCAAACTCAGCCCCGGCTTCATATTGTTCCGAGGATGGGCTGGTGACGTCCTGCCACCCTGGCAGCGCCTTGTGGTCATCAGAGAGCAGATCGTGGGGAAGCCGAGGGTTCTCTCCGAACACGAGTTGGAGAGGAGAGAAGCCCCCTCGATGCCAAAACCGATTCGTATGGGCGACCAGCTCGAAGATCAAGTCGTCCATCTCCTGAAGGCTAGCTGGAAGGGCGGCCCCGGTTTCTAACTCGGCCCGGACCCGCTCCTTGACCCAACCCCCGTGGCGCTCCACCCGGCCATTTTGCCACGGAGAGTCGGCGTCGCACACATGGTGACAAACTCCCCACTGCTCCAGGCCCCGGGCAAACCTGGCTCCAAACTCGGACCCCCCATCCGAAATCAAAAGGTGAGGGGCCCCCAAGGGCCTGACCCAGGACCGCAGAAACTCGGACCACACGGCAGCTGCCGTCGCACTCCCTACTCTTGAGACTACCTGAAGGTTGGAACCATGATCGACTATGTTCAGATACGGGTACGTGGTTCCCTGAAATTCAAGATAGAAAAGGTCCACCCCGACAATATGGTTAAATCGAAACGTCCTGGGAAGCGCCACTTTCCGATGGGCTCCCGATCGAGATCTCTCGGCGCAGTCGGAGCAGGTGAACTCGCGGCGCACCCACCTGATGAGTCGCTGCTTCGCTCCCCCGCCCGGAGCACTCGAACAAATTTACGGTTGTCGGGGTGTCCCATGTTACAGTGGAGCTTGTAAATCTGTCGCTTCTCCTCCTCTGAGGGCCCCGGGTCAGGTGGCTCACTTCCAGGACCGTCCGGCTTAGCCCCCCTAGAGGGTCTAGTCTCTGGCTCGTCGTCACTCTCACCAGAGGCGTCGGGGTCCACGGCTTCTTCTCTAGCTTCCTCGGCTTCCGCAGCACCGACCTCGTCACCTTCCGCCAACTCCGCCCAGGTAGCTTGTCTAGACTGGGAAGCCCCGGACCAATGCTCAGAGACGGCCCGGGCCACGGTTCGGACGAAGGCGGGTGGATACTGGCCCGCTCGGGTGGTCACTGAACCTCCCTCGAGCACCGCGTGCTCGTGACCCCCCATGCACAGGTGTCCGTCCAGCAGACGAAGGGTGTGTGGGTGGTTCGACAGAATGCCAGTCGGCTTCTTGTTAAGTCCTCGGGCGTCTACCTGCAAACCGAACTGGCACATATCAACTCGAATCCGCTGAACCCCCGGGAGTCCCCAGACACACCTCAGCACGAAAGCCCCCCATGATGAGGCGTAGAGTGGGTGTTCGAACGCGAAGTAGCGTCCGTGACGTACCTGATATGACGCGATCTCCGTGCATAGTATCAGATCCCGAAGCCCCTCGGACATCAGTCGGTCCCAGTCGGCCGGATCCATCCGATCACGATTGATTCGATTGATGGCCGAGAACGCACGACATTCGGAACACAACCATATCATCTCCGGGCGATCGGATCGGATGGCTCTCCACAGCTGCTCCACGTCCTTCTTACTTGATGAGTCCCATCCTACCTTACGGTCCCATGAGGACCTCACTCCCAAAGGGGCCCCCAGCCTCTCGACCACTGGGGCCATGCGGGGAGGAGAGAAGACCTCCATAAACGCCACCCTAGACTTGGAGCTGCGGCTCGACGTGACGAAAGAGCCTTCCCC